TCAACGTTTATTTCTTTTTGGGACAGAGAGAGACAGAGCATGAACGGGGGAGGGGCAGAGAGAGAGGGAGGCACAGAATCGGAAACAGGCTCCAGGCTCTGAGCCATCAGCCCAGAGCCTGACGCGGAGCTCGAACTCACGGACCGCGAGATCGTGACCTGGCTGAAGTCGGACGCTTAACCGACTGCGCCACCCAGGCGCCCAAGAGTCGGACTCTTAACCGACTGAGCCACCCAGGCGCCTCCACCTCCCCATTTTTAATGCATGAATGTGCTTGAAAGTGCTTTGTTCTTTGGATAGCCTGGAGTGCTAAGTTCATAACATTGTACTTTGGTTGTTTAAGTTTCTCTACGTCACACATAAAGAACAAACAGCAGGCGTGTTATATAAGAACAAGCCTACTATGCTCACCTACTTGCTTCTCAAACAAGGAATGAGCTCCCAAGTAGGAATGGCTAAGTCAGTGACTTCATCTGCATATCCAGGTTAGCTGGCTTTATTTTTCTTCCTTTTTCTCTGCCATCTCACATATGCTGCAGGATTATTTCCCATTCATTGTCTCTTTATTATATAACTGGAGATTTTCTATCCTTGCAAATCCTTTCTACTGTGTTTTCTTAAGGCCAGGTAGCAAACAGCTTGACTTGAGTCCTGGCACTGACATTCACAGGGCAAACTTGGCCCTTAATTTCTCTGGGTCACAATCTCTTCATCTGTAGGATGGACATAATAACAGTATCTGCCTCTAAGATGGTTGTGCAGATTTGTTGAGACAGTACATTCGAGTGCTTGGATCAGAGCTCAGTAAGTGCTGGCTAGTGTTAAACAGACAGAGTTGCCTGCCTACGTGTTTAATTATATTACTCTTGCTTTCCTGAACTGCTGAGCAAAGATCACCACCTTCAGAAACCCATGTAGTTTTGGGGCACCTGGTGGCTCGGTTGGTTGGGCGTCCGACTTTGGCTCGGGTCATGATCTCGCAGTCCATGAGTTCAAGCCCCACATCAGGCCCTGCACTGACAGCTCAGAGCCTGGAGCCTGCTTCAGAGTCTGTCTCCCTCTTTCTCTGCCCCTCCCCTGCTCACACTCTGTCTCTCTCTCAAAAATAAAATAAAAACATAAAAAAAAAAAAAAAAAGAAACCCATGTAATTTTATGTTTGTAATATTTCACCATGGATACAGTGAAACAGAATGAGGGGATTTAATGATCATTCTGTAAAGCAAGACATGGGTGCAAGTCAGGGCATCTGAACTGCCCTACTAACAACTACTTCATGACTTTGGGAGGGTCCCATTTCCTTAATTAAAAAATAGGAATAATAATAGTCCTCTCTACCTCAGAGGATCATTGTGAGTATTAAGATAATGTAACTGTATGCCGTTTTAAAAATTTTTTAACATTTATTTATTTTTAAGAGAGCATGAGTGGGGGAAGGGCAGAGAGGGAGACACAGAATCTGAAGCAGACTCCAGGTTCTGACCTGTCAGCAAAGAGCCCAATGCAGGGTTCAAACCCACGAACTACAAGATCATAACTTGCCCCGAAGTCGGAAGCTCAACAGACTGAGCCATCCAGGTGCCCCTGCCCTTTATTTAAAATTACGAATTTCTGGGACACGTGGGTGGCTCATTCAGTTAAGCGTCTGACTCTTGATTTTGGCTCAGGTCATGATCTCAGTTTGTGAGTTCAAGCCCTGCGTTGAGCTCTGCACCGACAGCTCTGAGCCTGCTTGGGATTCTCTCTCTCCCTCTTTCTCTGCCCCGCGCCTCCTCTCTCTCTTGCTAAAAAAATAAATAAATCAACATTTTCTAAAAACAAAAACAAAATGTGAACTTCTATAAAATATTGTTGTTATTACAGACAAGTTTTAATGAGTGGCTACTTTGTGCCCAAATGTGATCATGGGAGTAGATTTGCAAAACAAGCACAAACCCAAGTCACTGTCCATGAGGGATTTGTCATCTGTTTGTTTCCACGCCAGATCTGTGACCTAATTAGTGATCGAGATAGTCTTCCCCTTGGGCACATATCCAGCAATATGTCAGTCTCCCTTCACTGTTCCATCCATTTCAGCAGGACACATTGATATAATGAGACTCTATGGGTTACAATGAGAAAATAGAAGAGTAAATACCACGGAGGGTGGGGTATTAGGGGAGCCAATTAATCTTACCTGTCTGCTTTAGAAGTTGTCAGCTAGCTGGGAAGCTGGGAATGGCACAGGGTCAGAGAGGGATGCAGGCATCAGTCGCACTATGGGAACAGCCGGACAGCAGAATGCCATGGGAACCCAAGACCAGATGGGCTTCCTGTTCCGTCTCCCATGAATTAGGTCCTCGCCTGGACACAAGCCTGGTGAGTTCACCATGGGGACGGCTGAGGAGAACCCACGAGGCCAGTAAGCAGGCTTTCGGGAAAGAGCTAAGAAGGGGCAGCAGAGAACCCAGACCAATGGCTCTTGAGCTCCAGCTGGCTCTCTAGTCACATTCTTCTTTCTCTCTGGGGAAGAAGCCATGAGGATGGACAGTGGGGAGAAGCAAGGTGGCTTCTTCCCAATGCCTGTGAGACGGGAGATCTTCCCATCTTGTGTGCAGAAATGGGGAAGTTGGGAAAGAGAATAGTTCCACTAAGAGGGGGTTGAGCATCCAGCATCACAGGAGCCAAAGAAGTTAGAGAAGGGAGAGATCCAAAGGGACTGGAGGCTCCCAAGGTCATTTCTTAGAGGGTCAGTCTCCCTTCACTGTTCCATCCATTTCAGCAAAGTTACATGGCAAAGTATGAAGGATATGTTGGAGTGTGTGAGAAGGTGGCAGAAGGCTTTAAATTAGAGGGAGGAGATATTATAATCCCCCATTACACGTTACCTGCTAAGTTCGCTGTTGAATTGTATACCTCGTTCTTTTTTTGGAGTGTCATTGTGGAAACTTCCAGTGATTCAAAACATCATGCATTTCTTTCTGGATTGGTATTTTCACAATTTTATTTACTTCCTAACTTTTGCCTTTTCCTACATTTATTCAGATCTGTCCAATGCCAAAACCCGTTCTTCCACTGTTCCATGTCACAGGCTTGCCTTTAAGAACAAATGTTAAATGCGTATGGTCTATATTTTTAGTCCTCTATCCAAACATACCTTCCATCTGGGAGTTTTGACATGATGCACGAGCAGAGAAGGAGATGAATGGGCAGAAATGGCTTCATTGACAGGTTATTAATGTATCTTCTCTCTCCTTCCCCCACTCCCCTGAAAGTGACTCAAGGGCAAAGACGGGGTTTTCTTCTTCTCTTAGCCCTAGCACTGAGCAGGAGGCTGGCACGCAGGGACACCTCAATCAAAGTACAAATTGAATATTATTAAAATGATTCAGCTGAGCTGAATGTGTCTAGAAGAGACCCCCCTCCTTATTCCTCTCCTCAGCTGTCTCTCCTGCAGAACAGTGGCTTTCCTGGGGTCTGGCTTAAACCTGGCATCCAAGTGATGGAAAACCAAGTCAGTGTGCCAACTGGGAATTGGCAATTCTTGGGGCCATTAATGGAGCCTTGGTGAATTTATGCTTCAGAGCTCTTAGGCTCAATGCTGACCCAGCAGGACTGACCAAATTCATCCCCCATTAGTATTTGGTAAAAATGTAATATTCTACTGTTCCTAATTTAAGACCTCTGTTAGAGACCATTAAATATAGATTAATACTAGGGGTGCCTGGGTGGCTCAGTCCATTGAGCGTCTGACCCTGGATTTCGGCTCAGGTCAGGAACTCACAGTTTGTGAGATTGAGCCCTGTGTCAGGCTGTGCGCTGACAATGTGGAGCCTGCCTGGGATTCTCTCCTCTCTCTCTCCCTCCCCTGCTTGCGTGCACTTGTGTGTGCAAGTTCAGACTCTCTCCCTCTCTCTCTCAAAATAAATAAGTAAATGTAAAAAATAGATTAATAATAAATAAATAAAATAGAGAAATACAAAAAGAGATCCGATATTGTGCAAAGAACAAAATTAAACTTCAAATGAGAAAGAATGCAATCGAATACCTCTTAAGAAGGAACTGTTCCAAAACTTCAAAAATAAAAATGCCAAGAGTGCATTGCACATATGGCATAAACAATATAAAATGCAGTTTGCCTAATCCTGATAGCAAAGTAGGGTTCGGGTTGTTGAAAGCATCCCAACAGCCTCCCTCCTCCCTCCCTCCTTCCTCCCTCCCTCCCTTCCTCCCTTCCATCTGTGCTTCCTTCCCTCCTACCTTCCCTCTTTTATTTTTAATTTTTCCATCCTTAAGTGAAAGTCCACTATATTCTCAGTTGTCCTAAACTCAGGGAGTACAGAGGTAGCAACATTCAAACAAGGCCTTAGCAAGACCGCCCCTAGCATGGGGTATGGGTAAACAGAAATGTCACGTGTTAGAGATTCTGTGAGGGGTGCCTGGCTGGCTCAGTTGGAGGAGTATGCAACTCTTGACCTCAGGGTTGTGAGTTTGAGCCCCATGTTGGCCACAGAGTTTACTTAAAAAAAATAAATAAGTAAAAGGTTCTGGGATTTGAAGTTGGCATGACATTCCTGAGGGACATTTGTGTAGGAGCCTCCCCTTTGCAAAACTGCTTACCATTTTGAGGCCTTTACCGTGATTCCAACCTCCTTGTTAATTACCACTTGAGAAGATTAGCACTTTCCCCCCTACCATCCTCACCAATGTTTCCCAGACCATTGGTCACCTACTAGGCTCTAAACTCTGCATTCACCGACACTCTTGGGTTGCAAATGACAGAAGCTAATGCAAAACTAACTTAAGCAAAGGGAGAACTTGGTGGCCCACATAACTGGGAAGGATCTGGAGATAAATCAGAAAATGAAAGGAGGGGGTTTAGGAACCAGGACCTCAGGGGCTGAGACCAGGGGCTCCATGATGGCAGTCTCACTGTTCACCTCTCTTTTCTCTGGTTCTCCTTGAATGTTGACTGGTTTCACTCCCTCCTATTGTAGGCAGGCCAGAATTCTCCATGTGTTAGGAGGCATGACCCTTGATAATCTAAGCGTAACAACTCTAAGGGAAAGGATCTTATCTTTTCTCCAAGATTCATATTATCAATACTAAGGACAAACTGGTCAGTTGTAAGTGGGACTTGTGACCCCCACCTCATGCCCAGAAGATGAGGATGAGAAAGCTTTCCAGGGAAGACCAGAACAATGGCTACAGAATCTCCTGCAGGCTCTGGGCTGGATTCAGACTCTGTTCCTATTATTTCTCAGGGCAAATATAGAAACTTGTATGTTAATCCCACCAATGATTATTGTTTTTCCATACAACTTCTAAATTTCTTTCTCCATTGGCATTCATCTCCGCACACACTGAGAACATTGGCAGATAATCCATTTGCATCACCCTTGATAGTTTTGGTTTTTGGTTTTCAAATGGAAAGGGAAGAATCAAATCAATTTCAAAATTAAAATATTATGCCCTACAAATATTGTTTATTCTTAGAAGAAATTGTTTCTGCTGTTTTCGGATAGTTCTCAGTATGTGAGAAAAGAAAAATATAGCAAAAAGGAAGATGTGGAACCAGGAGTCTTTCCCCTTAATAGGAAGAGACTTGGGGTCTTTTGAGCAGTTAGCTCAGTGACTACCAGTAGTCTTAGAAGTTTTTTTTTTTTTTTTATGTGGTTGAGCTGAGCCTAAGGCAGAGACCATCAGCAATCATTTGAACACGGGCTAATGGAGATTTGGGGAGGGACAAATGAAGTACAATGACTTAGGTCACACTTCAAGCAATGCTACCCACATACCAAGAAGAGTACAGGATGGAACCTGAAAGCCACACCTGAGTGATCTCATAACTCTGGAACCCTTTGGCAAGGGGAAGGACAAAACAAGAACCAGCAAGAGCAAAGCAATTAGAGATGAATTTTCTATTAGGTCTGTGGAATGATGTTTACTTGTACATGTCTTTGTGAAACAGAAATTTTTTTTAATTAATACCGGTGATCATAAGACACATATTGGCCACATGCAGATTAAAAACTTCTAAGACAAATGCAAGTTATAACTGAATACTTTCACCTGAACGAAAGAGAAAAGAATTATGCCTCTATTGGTGCAGTCTAAAGTGTAAGGACATTAATGATCAGAACCAGGGCTTTTATAAGGCACAAAATATGAACCCAACAGGCATGGTCTCCCCTCCCTATAAACCCAAATGGAGACTCAACTCAGCATATTCTGGAAGGTACTGAGATATAGTCAATCCATTCCTACTTAAGCCTACCATTTGTAAACACATCCTAATTTTGTAAGAACATTTTTTTAAGTAAACTTCACTCCCACTTTGGAGCCCAACATGGGGTTTGAACTCATGACCCTGAGATCAAGAGCTTAACCACCCAAGTGGCCCAAAAGGACACTTTTTTTTAAGCAAAAAAAAAAATCTGTCGATCTTCTCATAAGAGACAGACTAAATGTATTTTACAGGAGAAAACTTGTTATTTTATTAAAATAAATAAGGATACAAAACATGAGTAGTCTACTAATCTGGGGAGGGGTGGGAAATATGAAATTGAATGGCTGAAAAGAAATAAACTCATATATTCTTACTTGTGGATCTTGGTGCACCTGTTGTCCCACTGCACATCACAGCATCATTATCCAATAAGTGCTTTAACTGTGGTCCCCCCACACTCTGCTCTCTTTGACAGGCGGTAAAATATGTCCACAGAAGTCAGCACATGATTGGGTCTGGAGACTCCCCGGGAAATTTCCAACTGGACATTGATATTTCAGGGTTAATCTTCACTCATCATCCCTGTTTCAGCCGCGAGCATGTTTTGGCAGCCAAGCTGGCCCAGTTATATGACCAGTACCTGGCAAGACACCAGAGAAACAAGGCAAAATTTCTTACTGACAAGGTACACTCTTCCATTCTTACTGTCGAATTGGTTCTTCTGATGAGCCCAAGCAACAAAGACACTTTCCTGCAGCAAACTTTCTTGCGCCTCTTTCACATGCTCCCTTGGCCTAGGATGTATGATAGAGTGTTCTACCTACAGGCAAAAGGAGGGATTTGGCAATGTACATTTAATGTGTGAAAATTCGGTGGCACACAGTTGGCTTAAAGAGAAAAGTTTGTGCAAACAGTGCAAGTAACCTGACCTCCCAGGAGCGGGCATTAAATGGAAGATATGTGGCTGTGTCTTGCTTGTGTGACCTCAGATGCTGAGACCGTTCATGGCTTGGGCACCTCTCTGTCCTTAGAGACATTCTCATTTTCACATGTACTTTCCCATAACATGGTACCCAAACACAAGTCAGTTGTTTCAAATGATGCTCAAAGATATGGATCTCTGGCATTTACATGGGCTTTTCTTGCTTAATTTTGACCATGGGCAACTTTCCTCCCATGCCTTGGCTTCAAACCTACTGCCCAAATAAGAGGTAACTCCACCATACCTCCTTTATGAGTCTATGATTTTATGATCGGTTCACAAAAATATCACTATATGTCCAGGACCCGGAAAGGTCTGCTTTTAGCCTTGAAAGAAACCTTATTTTTGAGACACACACCTAAAAGTGACACTTGTCATGAGCAATTTGATTATCTGGGCTACAGAACAGGGATGGACATACACTGTTCTTTATTATTCCTTTTCTTTTTTAAGAATAGAAGAAATAGGGGCTCCTGGGTGTCTCAGTCAGTTGAACATCTGACTTCGGCTCAGGTCATGACCCAGGTTAGTGGGTTCAAGCCCCACGTCGGGTTCTTTGCTGACAGCTCAGAGCCTGGAGCCCGCTTCGGATTCTGTGTCTACCTCTCTCTCTGCCCCTCCCCTGTTCACGTACTGTCTCTGTCTCTCTCAAATATAAATAAATATTAAAAATTTTTTTAAAAGAATAGAATAAATAGCTCTCTGTCAGAGTTCATTTTGGCGAAAGTGTGGGAACAGCTGGATGCCAGAACACCCATTCACAGACTTGTTGGCATCATTTTGCCCTGGAGAAGTGGGTGGTTTGGGGCATGTAATTTGCAGTAGGCAGTAGAGTTTCTAACTCAAAACTTTTATCCATTTTTTTAAGCTCCAAGCTCTAAGAAATGCTGTTCAGACAGGACTTAACCCAGAAAAAACTCATAAGTCTCTTGATACGACCCAAAAAACTATCAATGAGTATAAATCTGAAATTCGGTGAGTATAAGTCTGTCGTTATAACTTCTACTTTTTCTTCCCTTGTTAGATGCATACTTGTTGAAAGCTTTTTTTTTTTTTTTTCGGTTTTTCTGAATGCACTGAATACATGAGACATTGAGCCAAATGAAATAATGAGAAATATCCATCATATTAACCCCAAATTTGAAATCCAGTAAAAGAATGAGGATGTGGATATTGTGACTCACACACTCCACTGATGTAAATGAACATTGCTACAGCCACCACTTTAGAGAGGAGCCCGACCACACGCTAGCAAAGTGTGGAAAGTGCCCACAAGCTGGGATGCAGAAATTCGGGATTTCATAGCATCGTTTACAAAAGTAAGGAACTAAGAATAACCCTATACCAGAACGAACATGTCTGGTATAGTCTTCCACTGAACATCTACACCACAGTTAAACTGACTTAGATCTCTGTGTACCAATATGGATAAAACAACGTTGAATGAAAACATCCAGGTGTTAGGAGGAGACTCGCCGTGTGATATGGCTCATGAACCCTAAAGAATACCCAACACAACGCTCGTCTGTTGTAGGCACACCCGTGTGTGGTACACTCGGACAGAAAAGACACAGGTGCCGGCTGCTTCCTCTAGGGAGGGAGAGAAGGGAATGAAACTCAAGAGGTCTTCACCTGTAACTATGACATTTTGGCCAAAAACAAATGGCCCTGAATAAATATATCAAAATGTGAACAAGTGTCCCAATTATTTATGACATATATTTTTCTATTTGGGGGCATTTTTCATAATTAAAATTCAAAAATTAAAGCCTGATTGTTGCCAAACAAAAAGGAAATACAGAATGTAGAAGGTGACTATCTTCTGGAGTCCCATCTATCGGGGAAAATCACGATAACAGAATTCTGCTAGTTCTTCCACCTGTACATACACATGTATATACTCACGCACACATACACAGATGTGTTTATGTGTTTGTATTTTGTTTAAGGAACCATTGCATTTACCATCTCACAGCTTGTTTTCTATGCAAAATGCATCTCAGACCTTTTCTTATTGCAGGACATCTAGGTCCGTATCATTATTTAAAGGCTGACATTATATAGATGCTATGTCCCCTGTTGAGAGGCATTTGTACTGGTCCTATTTTTTATGCTGAAACTGTGCTCTAATTGACATTCTGTGTGTATATATATTTATGTACCTGTACATTGCCACGGGATAAATTCTTAGAACAGGAATTAATAAATCCAGGACTTTAAATGCATGCTTTTCTTTTTACGACTGAGACTTCAGTTAGTTCTTCCAGCAAAGTGGAAATTAGTGACGTTGAGATATTGTCATTGTAAATTCATGAAGAGTATATTTTAAAACAAAAATTCTTGGGGCACCTGGGTGGCTCGGTCAGTTAAGCATTTGACTCTTGATTTCAGCTCAGGTCATGATTTCACGGTTAATGAGTTCTGCTTTGTCAGAGCCTACTTGAGATTCTCTCTCTCTCTCTGCCCCTCCCCTGCTCACACTCTCTCTCCCTCTCAAAGTAAGTAAACTTTAAAAAAATAAAATGAAATGAAAATTCTTATTTATGCTAAAACAAAAAAACCCAGCTGGCAGCCTCTTTGTGAAGATAATTTTTGTTTTCGCATACATTGGGTAAGAAAAGGGACAAAAAGCTGTTCTGAATACACAAGTGGTTTTCTATGGACTTATATTTATTAATCAGCATTTGGAAGCTGGCAGAATGGTGTGTAAGGTGCACAGACCCGTGGGTGGCAGAGCCATTATAGTCTTTCTGCTGCCCGTGGGGATGAACAGCTCTGCGGTTCAGCATTTCTGGCCCCGTGAAAGAGTGGGTTTTAGTCTTTTACTGATGTTTAACTATTGCTGAAACCAGTTCAAAGCAGACGGCCTGTTCCCACATGTCCCCTCAAGCGGGCCCGTGTGCGGCTGCTGACCTGACCAGAGGCCGGGTGAGCCCCTGCCGGGCATCGGCCGAGTCAACAGCCAGCACAGCTCCACAGCGAGCATTTTCCATCATTTTCCATCTTCTTTCCTATAAATGGCATCACGACCGCGTTGCTGGCCCTCTGAGCTGCAACCAGCTGGACGAGGAAGGAAGCACCTTGTGGGTGCAAGACAGGGAGACATTGTATTTCACTCTCCCTACCGGCTCTTAACCCTCAGACCTACTCAGACTTGAACATGTAAAAATTCTGCCACCCTAGAGCCCCATCTGGCTACGGCTTTCTCTCTGTGTTTCCCTTCACAGCCAAACTTGTGGCAAACATGAACCAATCTTTCTGCTCGGCTCCCTCCCATCCTGTTCACTGGAACCTGTCCTCATTCACCCACCCGCTTTTCCTCTGAGGCGATCTGGCCACGGTCCCTGGGGACCTCCGTCTTGCCAAGCCCCTCCTGCTACCTGGCCTCTTGACAGCGAGGGGCCTTGTCACCAGAGGGGCCTCTTGTGATGTATTTCTTCCCCTCCCCTCCCTAAGCCACCCTCTCTTGGATGTCCGCACCCCTCTCCTTCTGCCTGTCCTTCCCACCATCCTGCCTCTATCATCCTTCTCTGCCCAGCTTCTAAATGTTCTAAGTCCCTCACAGGGTTTTTCTTTTTCTTTTCTTTATTAATCTGCATTTCCTCCTGAGAGGAATCCAGTCCCGTGGTTGGAAAGATAATCCAGAGAGGCCAGTGAACTCCCAGAGTTTTACCTCAGGGCTGACACCCTCATCCACACTCCAGACCCCATCTTTACCAAGTTTCAGAAAAGTGTTACCTGACTCCCCGGGCAAAACTGCCTTTGCCTTTTCCTCCAGAACCCTGACCACAACTGGTCGTTAAATATTCTTTTGTGATGCTTTGCTTCTGTAGCTCAGATGTCAAATTTTTCTTGCTAAGAGTTCATTTTTAGCATTTCTGAGAAACTATTTTGTCAGGTACTAAAAAAGGAAATAGGAAATATGTCAGAAAGCCTCAACGTGTCCTAGAACTCAGTAAGATAATTTTATACCGCAGTTTTTAAAAAGGAGGCCGGGGAGGTAGCAGCTAAGGGCACAAGAACACAGACCACTTGATAGTGACAGGTAACACTTGGCGGACCACTTACCAGATGTCGGGCACGGTTCTAGCATTAACAGTCCTCTCAACAACCCTGTGAAGTAGATTCTGTGAGCACCCCTAGCTTACAGATGAGGCAGGGAGAAGTTAAGTTGTTTGCTAGGCCAGCTCACAGATGAGAGACCCAGGGTCTCAACCTACAGAGTCAGGTTCCAACATCTGTGCCCTTAACCACATGCTTCACTGCTTCCCAAGAAGCATGTTTCTTAGTTCATTGCTTTCTTGTTTCTGTGAGGTCTTCAGAGAATCCCAAATCTTGGCCACCCAACCACTAACTGGCTGTCGTCTTCCGCCATCTTCTTTTTCTGGAGCCAGCAGTTGAATGACTGGGAACCTAGACCTCTGTGCTTCTCTGTACCATCTCCACAGACTGGGTCATCACAAGTGCAACCTCCAGACTCAGGTCTTCCTTCTGGAGGTCAGGAGGTGCTAATTCATGAGACCCTGCCTCCGTGGTTTTCTACGGCACTCTCTTAGGTGAATCTCACCTTGTATGTTTTAGTCATTTATCTATGTATCTGATTCCTGAGCTAAGTTGTAAATTCCTTGAGGACAGAGACACTTCCAGTCTTAGACATTCTGAATCACCTGGAATGACACCTGCTACTTGCTCAAGAAAAGAAAAATTGTCTAGTTAACTAATTGATTAATAGCATAATAGAGTACATTTGGGTTCTGGATTTGACTATAATTCATAGAGAGGGCTGAAAGTAAGGGGTTGAATAATTCCCAAGCACTTTAAATAATGGGAATAAAAATGAAAACATTTCCAACTGATGCCTCTTCAAATCAAGCTAAAAATATTGTTAATCTAGTTAGCACTGAAAACTCACCAAGGCAGGCAGCGAGCAACATTAGAACTTGTGATTTGTGTTAACAAAGACAGATTTTAATGTTTGTTGTTAACGGGGACAGTAACATTTTCTGATGTCTACAATAATTTAGTCCATGAGAACTGAGTTTACCGGGCCTCTTATTTTTATAACTTCAAAGGTGGCTGTTTGTTTAAGGGTACATAGTATTATTAATAACAAGTTCAGAAGGTGATTTAGTTTAACTGACTTCAGGTTCACCTAGAGAAAACAAAATCAAATAACCTCTTGAAACAGATTGGCATCCTATTGTCTTCAAATTTCCACTCATATTTTTGGATTTCTAGTACTTAAGAAGTATTATAGGTATCAGATTAAATATCCAGTCGCTACAGCATTATTAATTTCCTTTTTAATTTACACACCTACCTGAATAACTTTTTAATATATATCAACATGTTCAATCTTCTAGGCAAACAAGAAAACTGCGTGACGCTGAACAAGAAAAAGATCGAATGTTGCTTAAAACCATCATAAAAGTTTGGAAGGAGATGAAATCCCTTCGAGAATTTCAGAGGTTTACAAATACACCCTTGAAACTTGTTTTGAGAAAGTAAGCTTTTTTCAAAGATTGTTTTATTGAGAAAATGTGTAAAACATGGGTACAGTTTGAAAAATAATTACAAATAGGAACGCCTGGGTGGCTCAGTCAGTTGAGGGTCCAACTCTTGATTTCAGCTCAGGTCATGGTCTCACCATCATGGGATCGAGCCCTGCGTTGGGCTCTGTGCTGAGCGCTGAACATGGAGTCTGCTTAAGATTCTCTTTCTCCCTCTCCTTCTGCCCCTCCGCTGCTGACACCCTCATGCTCTCTCTCTTAAAAAAATTTTTTTGAATAAAGAATGACAAGTAAATAACAATATGACCACTCCCCAGGTAAAGAAATAGGACATTACATGCACCTGAGCAGCCCCTATGTTCTTAACCCTGCCTCCTTCCCCCTTCATCCCAGAAGTTACCATTTTCCAGACTTTTATGATTAGCATTTCCTTGTTTTTATTTCTAGGTTTTCCATCTACCTGTAATTCCTAAAAATATGTAGTTTAATATCACCTGTATTTGATGTATCCACAAATGAGAGTAGGTTGTATGTACTCTTTGTAGTGTGTTCTTTAATACTGCGTGAGATTCACCTACTTTATAGCTATAGTTGATTTGTTCATTTGCTTTATATTCATTATATGAATACAGCAGAACTTGTTCACTCTACTGTTGATGGACATTTGAGTTGATTCCGTTTCTCGTCTATTACAAGACAGCACTTCTATAAGTACTTTATATGTGTCTTTTAAGGTACACGTGCCTAAGCTCTCCTGAAACATACCCAGAAGTGAAATTGTTGAGTCTTAGGAGATGCGCCTCTCTAATACTCACGTGCTGATTACACTTTTCCAGAGTGGTTGTGCCGATTTATACTTTGAGCGGTGTTCCTGTAGGTCCATATCAGTCGTGCCATCGAGGTCACCTGGTCTTGTCAAACCTCACACTTTGCCAGTCCGATGGCATGATTTAATTTCTAACTTCCCATTCATAAATTGTCCACTTTGATTTCCTCTGTCTGTTCAAGGCTTTTGTAGATTTTTGAACTGAACTGTTTTTCTTTGTATCTTTTGCATAATTGGTAGGAGTTTGACATCTATCCTGGACATGGGCCCTTTGTTGATGTGCATTGCAGATCCCCTCTCCTACTCTGTACTTGTCTCCTTATTCCCTTCTGCTGCTTTTTCATGATAGAAATTCTTCATTTTATACAGATACAATACGTTCATCTTTTCTTTCATGATTGGTGCTTTTTGTATGCTGCTTTAGAAATTGTTCCCCTGAGTCAAGTAGATATTCTATTATATGGTCTCTATAATCTTTATAGTTTTATGTTTCTCATTCGTCTTTAGTCCGTTTGGAATAGATCTTTGTATATGGTGCGGAGAAAGTATGCTTTGATATCAGGTATGCTACCTAATCCACTAGACTTTGATACATGATTAAAAGTAGAGTCATCACAACAAAACCATATTCTGTATATTAATTAAAGAGTGTCTCTGCTGCTGGTTTTGGTCCCTTCCTGACTGTTTGTTGAAAGTAAGTGTTGTGCTATACATCGACATGAAAAGTAAAAAATATGAGCAATTATCTGATACTTTACTTTGAAAAGAGTCATGCTTTAGCCAAAGATAGCTGCAAATTGTGATTTTTAGGGTTTCATAAATTTCATAATTTTCATAAGACTCAGAAACCATCCTACAGTTCCTGGGACAAAGACAAGACCGTGCTTCCTGAGGGCAGGGATCTGGTCGCCATTGGGTATCTGGTCCCAAACAGAGAAGCTGCCACTTGGTATTTGCTGAGTTAATATTAGCTGATGAAAGACAGATCCAAGTAGTCTGTCCCACAGAAACCACGGATGTCTCCCAGAAATTCCAGAGTTTCAGCTTCCGAATTCCATCTTCCAGGCTGCCCCTCCCACCCAGAAGCAGAACATAAATATTTACCTAATTGTTTTCTCCTTCTTTCCTTCAGTTTAAGATAAACTAAAATTTGTCAGAAATTTACCCTTAAGGTCCCCTCTAGGTGACACTTTTTGTGATACCTAACACCCCTTCCTCCTATAAGTAGCTGCTTCCTAAATTTTTTTGGAGTGCCCCTTTTTACACCCTTGATTCACCTAGCCACCTTATGATATGGCATAATTTTTTTTCCTGCAAAAGCCATCGGATTTCAGCTCGTTTATTTATGCCTCTACAGAACAGAGGGCAAGGCAAATGGTTCTCTATATGCCAGAGATGGAACATAATTTATGAGCCAGATTTTCTCCGATGTTTATAAATTTCCAGTGCCATTGTGTTTCCCGAGTGACTTCTTCAGCAGGATCCTAGGGCTCTAAGAACCTGTGCCTTAGGGGACTGCTAATTGCTAACCCACCAGACCCCACGTGTAAGTAAGCAAGCACGTGTACATAAGCAAACCTGAGTCAGCCTTAGGCACCTGAGTAAGTTTATCTGAAAGGGACAGGATCTTTAGGAATAGAACCCACAGGCCAGACTGCATTAATCGCTAAGCCCAGGCAATTTGCTGCAACAAGTCCAAAGTGCTGGGCGGGAGTGTTTGGTGTGACATGTCTGTCACCTCCTTCCGGGACAATCACACTGCTCGGTAACATACCACACTTGTTTAATCCCAGGTTGACTCAGCCACAGCACCTTTTTGGCAGGGGATCTCACAGAACTAATGTTCCACCAAGCACACTATGGGGAATGCTGCTTTGGGCTGGGCAGAGCTCCTGATAAAGTATCAGCAGAATCGTCAGAGAAGAACTCAAATTGTCAATCTAAAATCAGAACAGCAGTTTTGGGGGCTCGGTAGTAACATAATGAAATGGTTTCTCAGAGATTTGAAGCATGAATAAAATAAGTACAATGAAACTCTACCATTACCGGTCGGGAGTCTACAGGCACTGACTGTGTCATATTGCCATCTGGATCACTTAGCTCAGAGTGGCATTGTTGCTTGGCGGCAAATAGATTTTGCCCATATTCCAGCTCTTCCACTCACCAAATGTGTGTTCTTGGGCACGTTACTTAATCTCTCCGTGCCTCAGTCTCCTTGTGGGTAAAATGCAAATGATAGTAGTATCGGCCTCGCAGCGTGGTGAGCTAACATGCACAAAGCTTTCAGAGGAGTATCTGCCCCCCATATGGGTATTTGCTGTTATTATTACTCTCTTACTGAATTTCAAGAAATAACCAAGGTCCTGTAAATTATTTTAAAGGGAAAAGGTTGACCAGAAAGCAGACGAAGAAGCGTACGAAGCAGAAATTCAAGCCGAAATAAGCGAGTTGTTGGAAGAACACATGGAAGAGCACGAGCAGAAGATGGAAGCGTACAGAGCCGCGTACCAGCAGTGGAAAGCCTGGAAGAAAGCCCAGGTTTGTCGAGTCACTTAGCCTTGAGCAGGGCTGACCTTGGGGACCGGAGGTGTCTGGGAGGCCACCACTTGAGGCCCGAGGAGGGAAACTAGACAGGAAGACTGGGGTCCCTTCTGGCTCTACCCATTGAATGTAGGGCAGTGATGCTTCTAGGCTTCCCCGGAAAATCATATAACTTTGCACACATAATCCTGCAATGTTGAAGCCAAGGCAGTAAGTTATAGATCAGGTGAATTGCAATGCCGGCCCACAAGACTTACTTTAATTTCAAGATGTGTCCTTGGCCTTTTGCCCCAATATTAATGATCCCGTGAATAGCTAACGTTTTTCAGCTCTTTCTGGGTCCCGGGCACTGTGCTAAGTGCTTTCCAAGCATTACCTCATTTCAGCAGCCCTGGGAAGAGTTTCCTATGATTGTCCCCATTTTGGAGATGAGAAAACTGAGGCACAGAGAGGTCAAGAGGTTTAGTAACCTGCCTGAGTGCCCACCACTGCTTGAGGTGGGGCTAGGTTTGCAGCCAAGTCTATCTATCTGGTTCTGAAGACTGTGGTCTTGAGTGAAATTCCAAAATTACTATTTGACATTAGATTGCCTTTTGCCCAACAGAGGGCCAAGAAGAAGAAAAAGAAGCAAGCAGTCGAAGAGCATCCTGAAGAGGAGATGGGGGAGCCGTATCCTGAGGAGGATCCGGTGAAACCGGTCCCCCCGGAGCCCACCGATCAGGCCCTGATGGAGCACCAGGTGAGGGAGAGGGCAGCCCGGAGCAGGAGAAGGCCTGGGGAGCCGCTGCTGGTCCCAGAGCTGAGCCTGGCAGGGAGCGTCACACCCAACGAGCAGTGTCCCAGGTGAGCAGACGCTCAGTGTGTAAGTGGGGGTGACCTGTGATAGGCGCTCGTGGGTGGGCAGGCATGCGCTACATGGAGGGTATATCTCCTGACTGACACAGTTTGATCAGGAGAACCGTGAACTCTGTAAGCAAGTATCATATAGATTGAACTCTATGAAACTGAAGATGTGTGTCCGTATTTTGGTGATGTCGAATGGTTCCCCTACCTCAGGTGTCCCCACTGGTCACTCAGGAGTACACCAAGGGAGGCTGCCTGTAGGAGGCACTCTTCATAGCCACTGCCTTTGTGGCTTTTGATGTAGAGCCTTTATCTGTAACAGCAACGGGTTCTCTGTCCACTGACCTGGCACAGACACGCAGGTCTGTCACTGACCCTCGTTTTCACCTGCCCCAGAGGCCAGCTTCTCTCTTAGAAGGCCCCAGAAAGCCTCCCAGAGGAATTGTGGGTATCCCCTGTAGCCATCTGATGCCTGTTCTCCAGATTTACATAGAAATACATATCTAGTCATTCATATGATGCCTAAGAGGGAACCAGTCAGAAGCCCCACTTTCTGCACGTACATCTATACATACAATAAATTCAGTCACCCTCAGACATAATTAGGATGTGGGGATTCATTAGGATGTCCGTTTAAGACTTCCTGCAGCCTCCTTAGTTTCAAACTTCTGTTAACATACCAATAATGTGTTTTTTTTAATTGTGGCTTTTTTCTTCCCAATTTCATAGCATTCAGATACTACATATAAATAAACTATTCCCCAGCAATGAATTCACTATTTTCAAGCCACAAATTGCATAACATATAATTTTATAATAAACATCCAAAATATGTGATTCCATGGGGGTTTTTTATTACATGTTTTTAAGAAAACATGTAATCGTGTTTGGGGGAAATTGGGGCTTGATTTGGCAATCTTTTGTCATGAGTCTCATTTTGACTGAGAATATACACCTCTGTCTTGAATTTCTCTGTTTTCACTGGGATTTGGGACTGTGACCCAAGTTACCCCAAGCCAATGACTATGATTGAGCTTCTCATCAGGCCTTCACATAAGGGTGGCCATGCAGAAGAAGGTGCCTTAGGTCTGCTCGTAGCAGGAGGTTACTGGAATAAGCCATAAAACAACTCTGAGTAAAGTCTTTGGGTGTCTTGAATACTTCCTGAAATTTGGTGTTAAGTTCCTTTATAGAAAAAACAACAACAACAACAACAACATTGAAGTCATTTGAACAATTCCATATCTGGGATGGGCCTAAATTACAGAGATGTAAAAAGTTAAAACTACCACCATCCAGTTGAATGGATACAGGATTTCTATTTGGGATGCTGAAAATGTTCTGGAGAAAGATCATGCCAATGGTTGCACGTCAGGAATATATTTAATGCCACTGAGCTGATCACTCAAAAATAGTTAAAATGATAAGTGTTATGTTGTGTATGTCTCACTGAAATTTTTTTTTAAGTTTATTTATTTGGGGAGAGAGAGAGAGAGCACAAGAGGGTGAGGGGCAGAGAGAAGGAGAGACAGAATCCCAAGCAGACTCCACACCATCAACGCAGAGCCTGATGCGGGGATCAAACCCGCAAACTGCGAGATCATGACCTGAGCCGAGATCCAGAGTCAGAGGCTTAACTGACCGCGTCACTCGGGCACCCCTTACTGCAATTTAAAAAAAGACTTTACCACCCAAAAACCCCTGAGTGCATTTCGATTTTATTTTATTTTTCTAAGCTTTCCCTGTTCTTACCAAACTTGAATAGCTATTGACTTAACCAATAACTGGAGCTGTGGGTGGGCATCTCTACAAATATGCACAGTAAATTAAAGCCTGTTCTTGGAGGTTTTGACTTGTTTTTTAACTTCCTGGCTATAGAGGTGATATGCTTGCCAGGATACCTTTTTTTTTTTTTTGGAATTCAAAAAGCCTTTTTAAAAAAGGAACAGTTCTTAATCCCCTACATCCAGTGAGTACTCACTGTCAGAAAGTGTTAAAAAAAGCATGAATCCGGGAGAAGCGGATTTCACCTGTTACAATATGCTATTACATGTTTTTCTTTTTACTCTGAGTCAGCCTTTATTTTATTTTTTATTGTTTATTTTTTTACTTGATCCAGCAATATAACTTTATTTTCATTTTTATTTAAATTCTAGTTAGTTAATATATAGTGTAATATTGGTTTCAGGAGTAGAATTCAGTGATTTGTCACTTATATATAACACCCAGTGCTCATCACAACAAGTGCCCTCCTTAGTGCCCATCGCCCATTTGGCCCATCCCCCCACCTCCGGTCATCAACCCTCAGTTTGTTCTCTATCGCTAAGAATCTCTTATGGTTTGTTTCCTTCTTTTTGTTTTCCTTCCCATATGTTCATCTGTTTTTTTCTTAAATTTCACATACGAATGAGATCATATGGTATTTGCCTTTCTCTGACTGATTTATTTTGCTTAGCATAATACACTCCGGCTCCATCCACGTCATTGCAGATGGCAAGACTTCATTTTTTTTGTTTGTTTGTTTTTTTAATGTTTATTTTTAAGAGAGAGAAAGAGACAGAGTGAGAATGGGGGAGGGGCAGAGAATGGGAGACACAGGATCTGAATCAGGCTCCAGGCTCTGAGCTGTCAGCACAGAGCCCCATGCAGGGCTCAAACTCACAAACTGTGAGATCATGACCTGAGCCTAAGTCGGCCGCTTAACCGACTGAGCCACCCAGGCACCCCAAGATTTCATTTTTTTGATGGCTGGGCTGAATAATATTCCATGGTATATATATGTACCACATCTACTTTATCCGTTCATCAGTCAATGGACATATGGGCTTTTTCCATAATTTGGCTATTATTGAAAAAGCTGCTATAAACATTGGGGTGCATGTACCCCTTTGAATCTGTATTTTTGTATCCTTTGAATAAACAACTAGTAATGCAATTGCTGGGTCATAGAGTAGTTCTATTTTTAACTTTTTTAGGAATTTCCACACTGTTTTCCACAGTGGCTGCACAAGTTTGCATTCCTACCAACAGCCTAAGAGGTTCCCCTTTCTCCACATCCTCGCCAACATCTGTTGTTTCCTGTGTTGTTGATTTTTATGCTATTACATTTTTAGGATAAAATATCCCGCCCAAATATAAATCACTACTATCCCTTATGGATTGAATTCACTCCAACTGCAAGGACTATGTTTCTGTTTAGTTAAAACTTCGGTGTGCAGGGGCGCCTGGGTGGCTCAGTCAGTTGAGTGTCCCACTTCGGCTCAGGTCATGATCTCACGGTTCATGAGTTCGGGCCCCGCTTGGGCTCTGTGCTGACAGCTCGGAGCCTGGAGCCTGCTTTGGATTCTGTGTCTCCCATTCTCTCTCTGTCCCTCCCCCACATGTGCTCTGTCTGTCTCTGCCTCTCAAAAAATAAAGAAAAGTAATAAAAAAAAATTAAAAACTAAAACAACAACTTTGGGGTGCAAACATAGGGCTTCTTTGAAAACAATTAAAGACACTGTAATATGGTGGATGATGCTTGGACCACCGTTCTTCTGTACCCTGTGGCCTTTTGAGTGCCCGTTTCCTAGTCCGTATCAAATTTGTTATATGATGCTCCTTGAGACTTGTGGCTGATTTGGTGCAACGAGAGGTAACATGAGTGGCAGGGTCACCTCCAGGTGTCTTGGTCTGTTCAGTGCCCATTTGTCAGACACTCCAGTTTCCCCTGGTCAATGACTAACCCATCTGCGATCGGTCTCCTCTGACAGGGTGGAAGTCTTGCGAAGGGAGGACGTCAAGAGACGCTCAATATATCTAAAGGTGATCTTCAACGACAAGGAAGTGTCCAGGACCGACAGTCGGCCCCTCGGGGCAGACTTCCGAGTTCACTTTGGACAGATTTTCAATCTGCAAATATTCAACTGGCCGGAGAGTTTGACACTGCAGGTATGCATTTTAATTACAGGCACTGTCCCAAGCATTGTTTTGGTGATCACAGGTACCAGATGGTTTTAAATCATCCATGGGCTACGCTGGTGTCCTGATAGATTTTCAAGGTGAACAGAAGGTCAGCCTCCCCTGGGGCGCGTCTGTCCTTCTGGTCTGGGCAGAAGGAGATCTGTTTCCCTGCTCACCTCCTGAAAATGCTGGCCACAGTGCCTCAGTGTGTACCTCAAGATGGAGAAGGGGGATGAGAGGTAGGGGCTCCCTGACTTTTTCATCAGAGTACTTCAGTATCACTGTCTGCCTGGGTCCTAGCATGATATACCTCAGAAATCAATATTGCCATAATCACAGGTGGCTATAGGCTGTCGGATCCCCCCAAAATAAATCGCACCGCTAACCTAAAATCCCACCATTAGCAATGTATTTATTTGGGTCTGTTTTAGTTTCCTAGGGCTGCCCCACCTAAGCCACATAAACTTGGTGGCTTAAAACAACAGATGCTTATTTTTTCACAGCTCTGGAGGCCCTGAGGTCTGAAATCTAGGCTTCAGTAGGGCCATGCTCCCCGCAAAAGTTCTAAAGGTGAATCCTTCTTTGCCTCTTCCACTCCTGGTGGCCCTTGGAGTCCCTTGGTTTGTGGTAGGGTCACTACAGTCTCTATCTTCATGTGGTCATCTCATTGTCTCAACCTGTCCTTTTTTTTTTTTTTTTTTTTTTTTTTTTTTTTTTTTTTATCTCTTACAAGGGCATTCTCATTGGATTTAGGGCCAACGGTAATCCAGTATGAGCTCATCTAGATGTTTAACTAATTAATTATATCTGTAAGAACCCTATTTCCAAATAAGGTCACATTCTGTGGTTCCAGGTAGACAGCAGTTTTTACAGGACACTATTTAATCCACTGCAGTGTCCAAACTTGCTATTCTCATGGTGAATCCTTTCCTGTGATGCTAACAGAATTCTCTTTTATGACAGTAATAAGCCTGTGAACTACAGTTGCAAATATGTGGCACACGTGCCTTTGCTTGCCATCCGCCACCCACCCAGAAATCACTAGTCCTCACCCGCCATTTATGCAGAAATTTCTCATTCCCATCCACCACCCTGGCAAGAAATAACTACATGACCGGGTCCTTTTCCTCCACTGAGCCTGGATATAACTCCAGAATCCTTCTCAACACTGTACTCCAGGCAGTTACTACCTATTGGTTGTAATTGACATTGTCTATAATTACAATTACAGCTGTATCATTATTAAAATATTTAAATACTTCTGTACTGGATTCCCAAAATGCCACCCTGGCCACCTAGACCCTACTTCTAAGATCCCCTGGACCTTGCCACAGCGGACTAATTAAAGGGTGTGTGAATGAGGCTAATGCCTCCGGGACCTTGTTCTCCTGGATGGCTGACATCTCTTCTGATTGGTTAACACTTGGCCATGAATATTCTTTGGCATTTGGAATATCAGCCACTAGCTAGATCTCAGTCATTAAAAACCTATTAAAACTGGTAGAGGAAGGGGAACCTGGATGACTCGGTCGGTGGAGTGCACAACTTCGGCTCAGGTCATGGTCTTACGGTTCGTGGGGTTGAGCCCCACATCTGTCTTTGCGCCGACGGCGAGAGCCTGCTTGGGATTCTCTCTCCCTCTCTCTCTCTGCCCCTCCCCCACTCACACTCTGTCTCTCAAAAAATAAATAAATATTTAAAAATTTTAAAAAAAAGAATAAAACTTGATGGAGAAAGTAAATAAACACAATCTCCAGAAGCCAACTTGATGCTTTGTGGTCACCTGCCTTCAGTAATGAGGGGATGCCGGAGGCCCCTATGTGAGTCCACAGAATAGGAAAAAGTTCATTTATTCAGAGATTGCCCCCTCATTTGAGATCCATGTGACTCATCCCCCCCCCCCACTTCCTCCCTGCAGAGGAAAAGCTGACATGAGGAAGACCAAGATTAACGGGAGAAAGCAGATAGAGGGGCAGAGTGAAGCAAGGGAGGGCAGCATATGATAACGTGGCCAGTAGGAAGGAGAGGGAGCCCTGGAAGGGGACACCCCTCCTGAAAAGAGCACAGAAGACAGAGAGAAGGCCCTCCCCTCCCCACAGGTGCCCATGAGAGATCAGATCCCCCACCTCTGCCCTGGCAGCCTATGGAGGCTTCTCGGCTGGGCAGCCCTCCATTTGCAGAATTACCATAGAAGGAAAGACCCTTTCCTTCTTCCACCTCCATGAGTACCAGTGTCTCATTTCACATATATTCTGAAATGGGAGGGAAGCTTTCTATCCTCTCTCCTCTTTGCCATCTTGAGACATTAGCTGGCTCGGATGTTGCAATCAAAACATTTTTTTTCAAGTACTGTGAAAAAAGTAATTCTCTAAAATGTTATGAAATGGATTTTCTAAGTAAACAAGCAAAATTTTATCCTGGGTACACCAAGAATATATTCATAGGCAGTTAGCTTGGCCCTAAGAGCTGAATCATGTAATCTTTAAAAAATCACAAATTGGGGCCCTGGGTGGCTCAGTTGGTTAAGCGACTGACTTCGGTTCAGGTCATGATCTCACTGCTTGTGAGTCTGAGACCCACGTTGGGCTCTGTGTTGACAGCTCAGAGCCTGGAGCCTGCTTCGGATTCTGTGTCTCCCTCTCTCTCTGCCCCTCCCCCCCGCTCATGCTCTGTCTCTCTCAGTCTCTCAGAAATAAGTAAACGTTAAAAAAAATCACAAATTAAAAAAACTTTGGCTAAACTCCTAAACTATCCTCAGAGATTTGATAACTGATCAAATCACATATCATAATGGCTCAATGGCATGATTTTTATGATTGAGTAGTGGTTCGAGATGAAATGAATCTAAGGACTATTGTATTTCAACTCTCTAGGAATAGAACAATGCCATTTGGAAATTTTCCACATAATTGCTATAAGTTTGAGATTAGAGAAGGTTCATGAATTTACTGGTGGTTTTAAGAGGGCGAGAAAAAATTGCCTTGAATATATCTGTTTATGCCAGTGTTCTGGCATATCTGTTATGCCTGACTTGAGAGCCCAACGTATTTCAGAAAGAGTTCCGAGATTCTCAAAACTTGAATGCATTCATTGGTGACCCAACAAACAAGCCATAAATGTTCGCTGCTTGAGTGAGAGTGTCTAATCCCATGCCAAGAGTGTGGTGCAGAACTCGAAGCCCTGGGCCGGAGGGGTGCCCATGGAGCTGCCTTATTATTATTTTTTTAATGTTTATTTATTTTTGAGAGAGACAGAAACAGAGACAGAGCACGAGCTGGGGGCGGGGTGGGGGAAGGCAGAGAGAGAGAGGGAGACACAGAATCCGAAGCAGGCTCCAGGCTCTGAGCTGTCAGCACAGAGCCCCACGTGGGGTTCTAACTCACTAGCTGTGAGATCATGACCTGAGCTGAAGTCGGACGCCCAACTGACTGAGCCACCCAGGCGTCCCAAGGGGAGCTTTAAATCCAGCTGGGAGATGGAGGGAGAGAGCTACAGAGAAACAGGACCGGTTTAGTGCCGATGTCAAGGACGCTTGGCGGGATTTGATTGCAGGGTTTGATTGCGGGGAAGGAATTAATTAGAGCAACACAGCTGGACCTGGGAGAGTACAAAGGAGTCGAGCCACAGCTGTCCCCAAGGGGTGGGTGAGGCTGGAATTCTCAGGACAGGGGAGAAGGCCCAGAGTCCCTCCAGAAAGGTCCTAAAAATCTCCGCAACTGAGATCTTTCCACAACAAATGTTTGGCCTTCCAAAAACATGAAATCCGATTTCGAAATAAAATAGTTTTGCAATGATCACCTTCATTTCTTTATCATTCACATCTGTATCTGTCGCTGTCCCCCCACCTCCCCGAACCAACAACTATCATGTGGTTCTGCTGGGTGATGCTTACATCTTTTAGCATTATTATTTTTCCTTACGAATCAATCCTGTTGAGCTTCATATTCTCGGCATGTGGACTGATTTAGGGGATTTTCCCTTTTAACCGAGCTGGCAGTTACTTGAGTTCCTTCCTACGTCCACTCCTGATTTCTGTGGCCCGTCCACAGAACCGCACTATCCGAGTGGGGAACACAGTCCTATTTGGAGAAGTGTCTTCGTTAGCCCTTAGCCAGCTCACTTCTGTGGTTGTTATTGGTCCTTTGTAGACGTAAGTCCAGAACAGATATTTTTTTTTTACGCACACATATTTATCTACTCAATTACATGGAGCCAGGCCGCCGAGAGCAGGTAGAAAGGACAGTGACGTCTGTGGTGGGACAGTGTGCATGGGGCAAGCAAGGTAAGGTCATCTACATGTAAGAGGATGTGGGTTTGGATGGGACAGGGGCCCGCAAACATGGAGAAGATCTCTGGGAAATAACACTCACTGATTATCTACCCCAAGACCACCTTCTTCACATACGCTATCTGATGTTACCCGAAAGAAAACCACAGGTACTATTATTCTCCCCGTGAGCTTCCGAGATCCTGAGTAACTACATCACCAAGCAGGTCAGGAGGCAGAAGAAAATTCAAACCCGGGACTGTTTGACTCTAAATTGTACTCTCATTTCACCAGTTTAATTGGGGATAATGGTAACAAAGAGCCAAGTCTCAAATCTGACCTATCTCCGCGCTCTGAGAGCCACTTACTGGGGAGGAAGTCTCAGAAAACAGCCTCAGGCATCACTGCGTATTGAGTTGTGTGGATATTTAGTAATATCTAGTATAATGGTTACTGAGCAATTACAATATGCCAGGCACCTTCTGTGTCTAGACTCAGTCCTCACGACAGTCGCACAGGAGCTGTATCATTGTCCCCGTCATCCTGAAATGCGGAGCACTTAAGTATACCTGTCCTAAGGTCATGCAGCCAGAAAGCGGCAGGGCCCGGCCCCAGTGCCCAGACCCGCTCTCATGTCGACCTCAGCAGGCCGCACGCACCAGCAGCTTGTACGTTCCATCCACCAAGCGTCTTGTTGCAGAGACATTGCACGAGGCTTGGC